TTTCTGCAACCTTCAATACTCAGAGTCATTTGGACCTGTCTCCCACAGAAAACAAAACACCGGGATCTCTCCTCCCTCCCTCTCTCTCTCCCTCCCTCCCTCCTTCTCTCTCTCTTTCTCTCTCTGTGTCTTGTCTCTCTCTCTCTTTCCCTCTCTCTTCACTGTCTCTCTCTGTGTCTTGTCTCTCTCTTTCTGTCTCTCTCTCTCTCTCTCTCTCTTCCCCCCTTCCCTCTGTCCCCAGGGGTGGGGAGAAAGGAATCTCTGAACTGGTGCTGGATGATGAGAATCTGATGCTCGGAGGCCAACGAGCCACGTGCTGAAGACCAGATGGGGCAATCCTGCAGGCTCCCTAGCAAATCCGTGCCTCCTGCCTCTGTACATTGAGGAGGCGGAGCAGCAGCGGGAAGAGCACAGACCTCCGAGCCGCAGGAAGTGGCTGCCAACAATGCCCTCAGGTGAAGATGTTGCGAGTGGGAGGCTCGATCCCTTATGGTATATCTTCTTGTTCTCAAAAATATTAACCATATAGCTTGGGGTAAAGAGTTCTCTTGATTAAGGTCAAGATGCAAGCCTGAACAAGATGCCTAATATATTGCTAGGCATATTATTCATAATGTAACATTTAAATAATGTCTAATGTAATAGGACCAGTTACTCCAGAGCTATTTTATATAAATCACTTGGAGTAACCTAAGTGCAAGCAGTAAACCATTGTTTCTTTTTGGGAAAAGAATTACATCTGTTGTGAATATACAGACAACACTTAAAGTGTAAGACATAATAGTGCTATAATTATGCCACTATTAACAAAATAGTACTAGTGAATATACCCATATCATGTTGATTCTATAGAAGGGTGCATAAAGAAAGTCAGTCATAGGCAGGGTGGGATTCAGTTTTTTTAACAACCGGTTCTGTGGGCGTGGCTTAGTTGGTGGGCGTGGCTTGGTGGTCATGTGACTGGGTGGACATGGCTTGGTGGTCATGTTACTGGCTGGGCGTGGCCAACTCAACATCACTCACATCGAGGCACACATCTCCTCGCATGGCCTCTCGTGACTGTGGGGATGCTGCGACAGTCATAAGTGTGAAAAAGGGTCATAAGTCACTTTTTTCAGTGCCATTGTAACTTTGAATGGTCCCTCCACACAAGCAAAGTACCAGCAAAAGAGGAAAAAAACTCCAGAGAAGTTCCAGAGACAGGAAGTCTAGTCCTGCCAAGAATGTAATAAGGGTTAACGGAGAGGCAGTTTCTGTACGCAACACCAGAATGTTTCCTTCCTTACAAGATTAGGCCAATAATTTCTTCTAACAACTGTTTCTCCGAACTGCTTAGAATGTTAACAACCAGTTCTAGCGAATAGGTGCGAACTGGTAGAATCCCAACCCTGGTCATAGGTTCATCTAAAGAGTATATTTAAGAATGTTTCAAATACAATTATATGGTGCAAATATCAAAGAGAAAATGTAAATGTTTAATTTTAGTAAGCTTGGTGAGTGCTTTTTCTTTAACAAGAAGTTTTTTCATACAACATATATTCCTTCAATTATTATTTGTCTTAGCTGATTAGCATCTTATAGATTAATATGAAGGCATACACTTCATTTGGTAGAAAGTGTTTATATTCTGGCATGTGGTTTTGAATTTAAGCAGTGCTTTTCTTAAACAATGTTTAATATAGCATCTTTTCTACAGTTCCAGTTATAACCACAAATTGTACAGCCAAACTGCCAGAATTGGGCTATCATAATTTTTTTTCAATTAAAATCCTCCAATTGGCTTCTCATATTTTTGTTATTTTAAATAAAAACTCACAGAAACTTCCCCAAATACTTCTCATTACTCCTTATCACCCCTCCCCTCCCACTTGTGACTGTATGACTGTAACTTTGTCACTGGTATCCTTACGATCTATATTGACTGTTTCCTAGTATGATTTGATTGCTTATTGTACCCTATGACTATTATTAAGGGTTGTACTTTATGATTCTTGACGAATGTATCTTTTCTTTTATGTATACTGAGAGCATTTGCACCAAGATAAATTCTTTGTGTGTCCAATCACACTTGGCCAATAAAGAATTCTAATTCTAAAAAAAAAGTAAGTCATTTTGACTTCTATAAAATGCTATAAAATCCTCTGTAAAACATAATTTTATATTTCAATATTGACAAATTTTTAAATTATATACAAAATGGTTTCTTTACTTCCTTAGACTGGCACATACTGAGGAACTTGGGAGTGACTAAAATTGGGCTTTAAAATAACAATGGTGCACAATATTCATCAAGCATTTGGTGAGATACAGTGAAGCATTTACACTCATTATTTGTCAGTGTGCTACATGTGCTTGTTTTACTTTCTGAGGGACTGACCACAAACAGTAAGAGCTGGGTCTGTCACATCCACCTCCCTGAAGCTTAGCACTGGTTCCCCACAGGGCTGTGTGCTCAGTCCCTACCTGTACTCACTGTACACACAAGATTGTGTATCGTCTGACTCATCCACTGTGATCATTAAGTTCGCAGATGATACTACCGTATTGAGTCTCATTACAGGTGGAGACGAAACAGCATACAGTGAACATCAGCAAGACAAAGGAGATGGTGTTAGACTTCCGGAAGAAGAGAAAGGAACCCGCCCCATTTTACATCAAGGGGGGCTGTGTGGAGAGAGTTTTCTCCTTTAAATTTCTGGGAGTCTACCTCAGCGAAGATCTTTCCTGGAAATCAACACAACCCAGGTGGCCAGAAAGGCCCAACAGAGACTCCATTTTCTTAGGATCTTGCGAAAGAATAAAATGGAACCATGACTAATGACCTCCTTTTACCAGTCCACAATAGAAAGTGTCCTCTCATAGTGCATTATGGTATGGTATGCTGGCTTGACAGCCACAGATAGAAAGACATTACAGAGGGTAGTGAGCACAGCACAAAACATCGTGGGCTGTTCCCTGATATCACTACATGACATCACTAGGGCTTGCTGCCTTAGAAGAGTGAGGAAAATTATCAGGGACAACTCACACCCAGTCAGCACTTCTTCACTCTCCTATCATTGGGTAGGAGATATAGAAGCATAGCCAGCTGCGCCAACAGGCTGAAGAACAGTTTCTATCTGGGCTGTAAGACTTCTGAACAGAAAATAACTTCATGTCAACATAGTATGATAGACTTGCGGGGCCGGCGCATTGTGGAACAAGGTCACATAGTATAAAAAGATTGGGACTGGGTTAGGAACTTCTGTCCTCACTGTGAGTTGTGTTGGGGGGGGGGTGTTGCACGAAAGGAGGCTCAGCCAATCTCATTGTATACATGTTGTACTCTGACAATAAAGGCAATAATAATAAATGATGAGAAAACCTTCCCTATATTTAGTATAATGTAAGTCAAACTAGGTAAATTCAAAGTGGAATTCGATTCCTTGTGAGCTCATTTAAGACAGTAAATATTGCAATTTAAACTGATTGGCTTCACTCATTGTGGTACAAGCATTGTTTTTGTTTGTTTGATGTAGTGTGTTGTATGATCCAACCAATTGTGTTTTATTCATTAAAGATGCTTCAGCAGGTCATGGTTTAATGTGAACCAACCTAAATATTGCTCTTAAAGCAGGATATATTTTGGCTGGTATTTTGCCAAATTAGATTATTTTAAATAATGTCATACAACAGGGCTGGGAAACACCTTCTCTAAATGGTGCTACTGTGCAGTCATCTCCCATATGCTTCAGTGGAACGTTTGGAGAGCTCATCCAAAGTGCTACAGAGCCCTAGGATTCCATATATTCATTTTGTTTTAAAATGATATTGGAATAGTTTGTTATGCCTATTTCTTTTTAATACATTTCCAGACAGGCCTTCTTTTAACAGAAAGCCAGTTTGTGGTATGGTGGTTAAGGCATCAGGCTAGAAACCAGAAGACCATAAGTTCTAGTCCTGAGACTGTTGAGTCTCACCTTAGGCATGAAAGCTGGTTGAGTGACTTTGGGCTAGTCGTTCTTTCTTAGCCCAACTCACTTCAAAGGGTTGTTATGGAGAAATAGAAGAAAGAAGGAGTATTAGATATCTTTGTCACTTTGAGTTATTTATAAAATAATAATGATAATGGAAGCAGCAGAAGAGAAGAGAAAGAATTAGAAAAAATCACAAAATACAAAGAGCTGCAAGTAGAAGTAGCACAACTCTGTCAAAAGAAAGCAAAAATACTATCAATAGTAATGAGAGCCTTGGGTACAGTCCCAAAACATGAAGCACCACATGAACATCATTGGCATTGACAAAATTACCAGTCACTTGCAAAAGTTAACTTTACTTAGGACAACTTACATCCTGTAATGATACTTTTAGCATCATCAAATAACAACATTTGCCTATCTTAGGTCCTTGGGAGGAATTCATTGTGAATAAAAATGCTTAATTATTTCTTATTTTTTTACTTTCAAAAGTTTGCATTAACATACAGTTCAATGAAACTCCCCAAATTAAAATATTCAAAATTTCCTAATAGGATGAAATGGCAGGATCATCTGTGATTTCACAAACTATCTGAAAACAGAATTGCTAGAAAAATAGCATTATTGTACAGTTGATTTTATAGGCAGTAGATAAAATAAAATTAACTTAAATTTTTTTTATAACTGTAATCTTTTAATTTTCCATCATTTAGATTTTCAAAAAGGTTTAATGTTCACATGTTTTCAAAATAGTTATATTCGGGTAACAATAAACCTATCATTGAATGTCAGTATCTGAATAATGGCACTAGAAAAACCCAGGCAGATGGTTCTTTTTAGGTTAATATGCTGAATTTTAATCCTTGTTTTCCTCTTCTTTTTCTCAAGATGGTGAATGAATGGGGCAAGATTGCGATATAAAGGTAGTGAACCTGGCAGCTTAAAATGTATCTTCCTTTGGTTTAAATTATCCTCCTGTCTGTCTAGTTGATATGAAATGAATGCCAGCAATAAATTATTGCCAAACAATCATTCAACTCAAATGAGAAGGAGCAAGATATAAAATGGAAAGAGGATGTGGTTTTCAAAGAATTGAAGCCTGAAGCAACCCTCATGAATTTCAACCACAGCAATTCAGAGAGCATCACTGGTAAGCTGATGAGTAAATTAAAAGGTGCTGGTAGATGTTTTGAAAATTATAACTGCTTCAAGGCTACTTTATATTGAACTTTAGAACTGTCTCAAATTTACAGTAAAGCAATGCCTTTATTATGCCAAACTCAAGGTAGATTAAATGGCATGTAATTTTTTCCAAAATGCTTAAGCAGGCAGATCATATAAAAATTAGAAAAAAAGTTTGGGGAGGGAAAGAAAGAAAAGCATCTAAACCAGCTCCTTTAAAAAGGAATGCTGCCTTTTTGAATGGAGGATAAATTAAAATATTAATAAAAGCTGGAGTAAAAGAGAAATCTGTCTTAAAATCAGTGCAATAGATTAAAAACTATTGCTTTTTTTAAGTGATAATTAATTTCTAACAGGTAAACATTTAAGACTTGTGTTGTTTCTCACTGTCCTTAGTTCAGAATGGATAACATTAGTCATTTTTTTTCAGAATGTTGAAAAGCATTTATTTAGCAAAGAAAATAATGGTTTTCTTCCAAAGTTGATATGTTGTCCGCATATATCTTTAGATGATTGCCCTAATGAAGACCTTCCTGAAGTGGAACTAGTGAGCATGCTAGAAGAACAGCTGCCTCAGTACAAATTACATGTGGATTCTTTATATCTTCCTGTAAACGATGACTGGATCCAGTCAAGAAGTTCTCACAGTCATGGTCCTGAAATTTCTTCTCCTGTTCTTGCTGAGGAGGCACTCCATTATATGAGTAAGTATCCCAATATAAATATAAGCATTCAAGATTCAGTCAACCGAGAGTTTCCGGTTTGTCGGCTTCGCGAGCGGCAGGGATTTGCGAAGCTGCGCGATCCCTGCCGCGCTAGCCGTTTTTGGGGCTCCGACCCAGACGGGTACGG